GTCAGGGTGGCTAGGACCTGGAACCAACTTCCAAGTGAAGTTGTGCTGGCTCCTACCCTGGGGGTCTTTAAGACAAGGCTAGACAATCACTTTGCTGGGGTCGTTTGACCCCAGTACTCTTTCCTGCCATGGCAGGGGGTCGGACTTGATGACCTGCTCAGGTCCCTTCCAACCCTACTAACTATGAAACTATGAAACTGCAGGGTAATCTGCTACCTGCAAGTGCAGGTATTAAATTAACTTCACGGTATTGACTGCACAGTAGCCTACATGTAGATGGCCAACAGGGAGCAACTATGCTCCCAGCCAGCCCAGGCAGCAGAGAACAATCCCCTCCCCTGGGAGCTGCCTGTTGCTGGGGTGGACTCTGAGCATGAAGCCAAGCCGGGACATTGTCCCCCTGCCCCAGCAGCAGGCAGGTTCCCAGCCCTGGCTCCACGATCGGAACCGGGAGCTGATTAGCACGGGGATCAAGTCCGTTGCTGCCCCCTGCCTCGACATAGGAGTGGGGAGCTGATCAGTTCCAGGATGGGGGAGCTAAAAGTGGGGCAACTAACAGTGAGCCCCCAAGTGGGCAGAGTATCCCCACCAAGCCAGGGGCAGCCATGAGCTGTCCCACTGGGGGAGCAGCTAGCACTGATCGAGGCATAGGGCTGGGAAAGAGCTACAGGGGAGGGGACTCTTTCCAGCCCCCTGCCCTGATCGCCTGATCAGGGCACAGGGCTTGGAAACAGCTGCAGGGGAGATGCGCAGCCCAGAGCCCTAGACAGGTACAGGTCCTGGTCAGCTATGGGGAAACCCTCCTGGGCACAGAGCTTGTCCCCATGTGCGTGGGGTGGGAGAGCTCTGCAGCAGCAGCACTCCCGCTCCATGCACATCACAACCCCTCTCTGACAGCACCTAAGCTAGCATCCAGGGGGAACTCCCCTGGCTGCTGCAGCGGGGCAGAGCAGTGTGGGAGCAACCCTCTCCAGGCTGCTCCCATTGGGAGCAAATCTGCTCCAAAGAGGGAGCATATGTAGACATGCTCCCCAGTAGGCTTACTGTGTAGTATTTTTACTGTGCAATAAGCCTACTTCAAATTAATTGCATATGTAGATACGCCCATTAAGACCTATCAGAACTCCCTGTAATTATGGAATAGCTTACCCCTCCCATTGGTAGACATGGAGGAGCTGCTACCCCAGTAACTAAAAGCAGTACTGGCTCTTCCTCTGACTACTTTTCTTGTGGCTTCTGGCTCCTGTTACCTGACTCTAAAGGTTATAGGGATTTAATGCTGAACCAGGCACTGAAACTTAATTTTTAATGTTTGACTTCTCATCCGTCTTTAACAGGAGCAGGCAAAATATGGCCTGCGGGTCAAATCTGGCCTGCCAGGCCATTCTATCTGACCCGCAGGGCTCCTAAAAATTTAGAAAATTAATATTTATCTGCCCCTGGCTGCCTGTCAAAGATGACAAGGTGCCAGCAGTGGCAGAATCCAGGAGGAATCAGTGGCAGGGCCCAGTGGCAGCAGCAGCAAGGCCCACTTGCCCCCCCCTCCCAACGCCAGCCCCCCAGTCTCCAGCCAATAGCTTCTGCCTAGCAGAGGCTTCTGGCCTGGGACCCTAGAGCTGTTCCCTGCCTCCCTCCATTGGACAGTGGAGAGCCAGATAAGAATGGGGTGGGGGGAGGAAGGGGAAGCAGGAGCCAGCCAGCACCATGTGGTTCCCAGCTGGCTCCTGCTGTGCCATGCAGTCCCAGCCATGCAGCTGCGACAGTTCAAGGCAAAGGGAGGGAGCAGTGGTGACAGGTGGGGAAAGAAGGGAAGCAGCAGGGGAAAGGCACCAGTGGCAAGCATGGTGGGAGGAAAGTGGCAGCACGTGGGAGCTCAGGACCCCGGGGGTCAGGGACAGTGGCAGCAGGAGCTAGCTGGGAGCCACAGGGGCCAGGTTGGCTCCTGCTGTGTTCTGCAGTCCCACCATTGCAATTGGGAATCATGCAATGCCAAAAGGTGCCTGGCCAGCTCTGTGCTGCATGACGCAGTTGCCAGCTGCAATGCTGGGACCACAGAATGCAGCAGGAACCAACCCAGCCCCTGCAGTTCCCAGCTGGCTCCTGTTGCTGCTTCTACTGTGGGGCCATGCACCTGCAACTCCCATACTCGCACTGGGGGAAGCCCCACACTGGAGCCAGCTGCCTTCCCTGTCCCTGGACTCCACTGGGAGTGGAGGGATACCTGCCCCCTGCTACGCCATGGAGTCCAGCGTGGGGCTTCTTCAGGTGCAAGTGTGGGAGCTGCAGGCATGTGGCACAGAGCCCCCATGATAGAGGCAGCCGGGCAGTTTGTGCTCCTTGCTGCCCTGTACGCAGTGCTTCCTGGAGCCACACCCTGCCAGGCGCCAGTGCCTGCACCAGACACAAGCTTTCTGAGTGCCCCTGCTTGCTGCTACTGCTGGCAGCAGAAGCTGTGTACCATGTAGGGAAGTGGGTGGGGGGTCCCCACACCCCCCACCATCCCTCACACCCCACAAACTTCACACACCCACACCCTGCCCCCACAACCTCCCCATATATACACACAGCCCAACATACCCTATGCCCTCCCACATAGCCATAACCCCTCACAACCCCCCACCCCACCATACACCCCCGCCACACACACAATATAAAAGAATGAGACTTAATTTTTTAGTTATTATCCAATCCCTTCTATATATAGTACACAAACACAAATCATGAAAAATATTTTTTGTGATTAAATTAAAATGTTTTAGTAGGTGTTTGACTTTTAGTATATGATTTGTTTTTTTTCTGGTTCTAAGATGGCAACCCCCCACTTCCCAAAAGGAGTATTTCTGAGGGGCAAAAGGAGAGACTTCTGGTGGCAAAAGTCAGGGGTTAGGGGGCAGGATTTCTAGTCTCAATACGGTGACCAGAGGGCGGGGCAACTGTCAAGGGGCAGGGCTACCCATGCGGCCCTCAACAGCTCACCAAAACTTGTTAAGCAGCCTTCCAACTGAAATAATTGCCTGCCCCTCCTGTACAAGCTGGTACTTGGATGACAGAGTAACATCTGTGAGGCTTGGGTGTGGCTATAGGGGAGGATGGAGGCCACAAATAGCTCATAAGGCAACTGATGCTCTGAGGCACTAATAGGGCTGACTAACAGCAGAGCTGCACTGGGCTCACTCTGGGACCCTGGGGGCAGCCCCTCAAAACTTTATCAGTTACATCAAAGTATGGCATAAGAGGTAAAAAGGGAGGGTACCTGAGGAGCCAGAATGAGGACAGGAGTTGAATGGACCCCAGGGGGCATCACAACCTCCCTGGGGGCCTGTTCCTGACACAAGTATTTAGAAAATCTGATTCTTACATATTTAGAGAGGAGGTCACCATAAAAATGAACCCGTTGCCTTAGCATTTATGTACATAATGTGATATACCTTATCTGCAATCTTGAGATCACACCCTGCCTTCAGCAACAGTTCCACTAGTTCAACATTGCCAAGATCAGCTGCCAGATGTAGAGGGGTTTGTTGCCTCTGGAATGAATAATAGAAAATAAATACAATAAACCAATGCCTCACTGGAAAGAAACCAGACCCAATTAAAATCCAAAGACAGTTTACCATGACAGCATATACTTAAATGGATAATACTATGCAGAATGAAGTTACCTAACACTTGAATGACCAAACTTTCAGCTGTCTTTTCAGAAAAGAAAAACAGGCCTTGGTTTTTCAAGCAATGCATTCACAAACTATAAAAGTCCTTGTACAATAGGAATGTAGTAGGTTTGTCACATATTCAGAAATATTTTGGCCTGCGTTTAAGTTATGCTTACATAGGTTAGAACTGGGAATGGAGAAAACTATACAATTTCTCCTGTTGGAAATGTTTCAAGCTAGCTGCAAGCCCAGCTGTAGATCATGATTATTGCCCCTTCATCCTTTCTTTGCCTTTTCCAAACACCTGCTTCAATAAACTACATTTTTGGACAGAACTGCAAACAGGCCAGTGGGATTTTATGAATTATTTATTGACTCTTCTGAAGAGAACAAGGGCCCATCTTGCTTAGAATATGGAAAGCTTAACTGTAAGCATGGGCTCACACTGGGGAAGGTGGAGACCTTGTCCAAAGCTCTACAGGACATGAAAGACTTGTAATGAAGCTACCCAGTGGAAAAATAATAGAGAGTTCTGGCAAAGATTAAGCATTACAAGAGATCATTATGATCATCTAGTCTGACTTCCTCAATAACATGGGCTGTAGAACTTTCTCCAGTCAACCTTCTCAATCAAGCTCATAACTTCTCACAACTGTAAGAAATCTATCCAGTCTTGATTCAAAGACTTAAAAGTGATGATGAATCTGTCATCTCCCTTTGTAAGTAACAGCATATTCCATGGAAAGCTTCTGACACAGAAATGTGTATCAGGAAAAAGGCAGAGAGAGGGATACAGGATCTAGAAATAAATACATGGATCTGGTATTGTATTTGAAATCATGAACCAAGGCACAAAGACTGTACCCATTACTAGAGGGGTGCCATGGTATAGCTCCATTTCATACACTGCATCATGTGCCTCCAGTAAGATCTGTTTTGTTTTTCTACAGAATTTCATTAAATAAAATAAGAATTGTGGTGGGTGATATCTTTTATTGGACCAACTGCATGGCTGGGTACTGTGATACCCAAAAGCTTGCCTATGTCTATCCCAGTCATGCACTTCATCCAATAAAAGATATCATCCACAAGAATATTCGCCTCCCGCTTATTTCTTGGACCATCATGGCAATAACCTCACCTCAACACTATCATTACCATATTTACTCCAATCTATGATGACTCTGAATTTAAAATGACACCCCAGTAATTAGATTCTATATGTGGAAAATGTATAAATTTGTTATATTCCAGGCATAGAATCTAAGTATTGGAGATAGTCTGGAATTCATCTGTCCCCACTGTTACAGCAGAGAAAGCAGTGGTTGGGGGTGGGTCAGGTGCCCCCCTTGTCCTCTGCCCCCAACTTCTTCCCCCTGCAACCTTCCTGCCCCACCTACCACCTGAACCCCTCACCCCAAGCTCCCCACATAGCCTCTGCACCTCCTTCTTCCTCTCCCTCCAGTGTCTGCCCTTCTCCCCCTGACTCCCCAGTCTCTGCCTTTGCCCCCCACCCCCTTACTGTCAGATGCTGTTTGGTCTCTATTCCTTCCCCAGAGCACACAACATGAAAGCGCAGCCCTTGCTAGACCAAGCAGCACTGGCAGTGATGCTGAGGCACTGGGTAAGGGACAGTTTTCATTTGCTCTGTGCTGGGAGGGAATCCAGCCTGAGCTGGAGCTGAGCTGCACCTAACAATAATGGAAGAAGATGGCGGGTAGAAGCTGTAGAAAGCAAGTGGGAGCGGGGGGGAGGGGAAGGTGGCTGCTGTGGGTCTGATTCTGGCTCCAACCTGGGCTTAGGGTCAGAGTCAGAGCTGCAGCAGCTGCCTGCCTTCTACCCCTCCATTCTGTGTGGGAATTTAAGATGAGGGGCTTTTTGCCCTCATGATGACTGGGGGGGAGGGGGAGGGACTTTGTGTTAGAGTCGAATAAATGTGGTAAGTAAAAAAACCCCACATTTATTCGATTATATTCAGTAAATAAACCATAAAACCCCATTGGCCTGCTTGTAATTTCATTCTGCACAAGATTTTACTTGATACATAGAGGAATTTAACTCTGGTAATAACCACTCCAGTGACCAACTGGCACTTCCCAATTCCCTTTTGCCAAGTGTTTGCCTCTTGCTTATGTCTAGTGGCAAGATAACTTATTTGATTTGTTTGACTACTATGAAATATAGGAAAGTATTTCACACCTTTGGAAGCACCACTGCTGAAGATAAGGCATATCGCCATTTATAGGAGTCACATATAAGATTCAGCATCTCCAGACTCCTACTTTTGGACTGAAATATCAGGAAGCACCAGCACAAAGTTTCCACATAAAACCTTACCTCTGTTCCATTGTGCAATGCCCTATGACACCATTTGACAGGATGACCACTTACTTTTCCTCATATAAAATATTATACGTTGTTCTGCAGTCTGATATATAATCATAGTACCTCTTAGTGGCATGTATTTCTCCAAGTATGCTAGAAACAATGGGTATGAACAAATGTATGTTTGGACCTAACTTCATCCAGGATCAAAGTTGGAGAGATTTAGCTTACTTCTATTACTACAGGATCATGCATAAATAATAGCTCCAGCGTTTTCAAGCAATATCTCCCTTTCTTTTGAAGCAGCTCCAAGTGTACATTTGGTCATATGCTATTAAAGTCCCAAGATGAGCCTGAAGAGTTTTCAGAACTGTTTATTCTATGGCATTATTTGACACATAGTATGTTGTCCTTTAATTAAATTCAGTATTTATTTTATTTAACTGCTTTGATTCAGACTATGCAAAACGATGCTGCTCTCAGGCCCTAGGTTCCTATAAAGGATTAAATATGTAATCTATGTAATCCATGACAGTAATGGAGAAAGGATAAAGGATAAAGGATAAAGTAGCAGATCCAACAAAACTAAGTTCTTCCTCAGAAAACACTATGATCCACAGAAGACAGAGCAATTATGGGTTTGGTGCTTCCTGATTTGTTAATGCTTAATTGTTTTCAGACAATGTTCACTGCTTTTGTTTACAGGAATAATAAATACCAGAATCTGGAACTGTTTGATTAGAACATACAGGAGTCACACTTAAGCAAGAGAAAGTGCTTGTGCTGATCACATTTTTTATACATGACACCAATTTTTCAACCTTGAAAATTAACTGGAGCTTGAAAGAGGCTGGGACCCTGAAAGGTGCCTCATTTGACATGTACCACAGAAGATCAGTTTTAAATGGGGCATTATTTCTTGTAGGGACAACAATGGCCTCCCAACTTAAATCAACATGCTGAAGTGAGTGTGTCGTTCACTTCAAAAACTTTGATTCACTTTAGCAATATGTTAAATACAAAAGTAGGGTATTCAAGTATGAAACAAGCTACATCTTTTCTGAATATTATGTTGCTACCTGTCTCTAAGATAGTACCAGTAGGGCAAGTGGGCTGAACAAGACATATGCAAATGAGTATGAGACAAATGCCTCTTTATCCCTCTTTTTCTACTCTGACCTTAAAAAGAGATATTAAAATAAATAGCCATTTATAAAAAGTATAAAAAATACATTCTCTTCTTTCATACAGAAATAATTTTGCTTCGCAATTTGCTTACCTGATCCAAACAGTTTATGTCATGATTGGCATCCAAGAGAGTATTTACTACAGAAAGATGATTGTTGATGACAGCTATGTGGAGAGGGGAATTTTTCTGCTGTAGAGAGAAATGAACTAACTATTAGGCTAGGACATGTACATCAAGAGTGGCATTCAAATAATACAGGAGGATTCCATTAAACCCTGCCACTCAGATTTGAAACAGGGCATAATGCAGTAATAATTTTGCCTGATTATGCTTCCTCGTTGTGAAGAAACTTCTCCTCTTAGCCCTAAAAGAAAAAGTCACACCATTCCCTGTTTCTGAACCCATATTTGTGAACAGCTCTTTCAGTCAAAATCCATTACCATGATTGCCAGTTGCTTTGCACAATGTGATATAATGGAGAAAGGTCCCATGCAAAAAGAACTGCTGGAATGATGCCTCGGAGATGAAGTATCACTTGCTATAAAAATATATATTTCAATGTTTTCTGAATAAAGTTGCTTGCACTTCTGCAAATAAATAAAGCTGTGTTGAAGGGCTACTTCTTCATTTTTATTACAGTACAAAATTATTTTGTTGTTCCCAAGAAAGACATTGAAGAGCCATTCAATTTCATTTGAATTGTCCGCTGGGCTTAGAGCTAAGTGAATACTTTTTATCAGGTAAGTTATTGATATGAGGGGCCCTATCCCCTGTAGATGCACACAGGTGCACGGGACTGTTCACGGAAACCCAATTGCAAAGCCTTGTCCCTAATCTCTTTTTGTTCATTAATTACCTAGAGCAACTTACAAACAGCAGGTAAAGAAAACTGTAATTATTCACTGCACAATGACACTGAGTAATTCTTTGTCTGGAGACTGTCTACAAGCAGTTCATTATAAGCACTTCATATTCACAATGTGCTGGCTTGTGTTTTAGTTGAACATGTAGGTCATATGGTGGCATTTCTGCTTTCCCTGCAGACCTGATCTGGAATTGCAATTGTTCAAAAACAGACTTAATGAGCATGACTCCAGATCAGGTTTCTGGGGTGATAGATCAAGTCCAAGAGTTGAAAATCCGCTTTCTACGAATATTCTCTAACAATCATTTAAAATATGTTGCTTTGGTGAGAATATTTGCTAGTAAATTATCTTGGTAGACTATTAGTGTAAAAGGAACACAGCTGGAAATTAAATTTTACTATGCAAGTGATTTTTAGTGGAAAAAAATGAGGTATTTACCCAACAGATTGGTTAGGAATGAATCTGCGAGTCTTAAATAGATTTAAAAAATAATTCAACACCACTACCATATAGGTAGTGTTAACATAAACCACATCCATTTTAAATAACTATACTACATTATAATATTTTAAAAAAATACAACTCTCATTCAACTTTTTACTGTGAATATTGCAAAAATAAAAACCTGATATTTAAGGGAATAAAATAATTGTTCCTTTAATGCTAAAATATAAAACAAATGCTTAGGCCATTTATATTACAAAATCCAGATATTTTATTTTAATATTATAATGTAGTATAGTAGTGCCCAGGCTTCTGGCCCTGTGGGCTGGATAAGTGGCAGGGGGTCAGTCTGTGGGCTGGATCCCACACTGTGTTGGTCTGTAAATATGATCCCACACACTGGCTTGACCTGCATGCTGGATATGGCCATACACCAGTTGCAGTCATGTGGTGATTCAACCCTCCATGCTTGGACCCGGCCACCGAGCACCCGCATATGCCAGTCCAACCATGCGTTGGTGCAATATAACACACAGGGCCATGTTATCTGGTCTGCGGGACTCCCCACAGGCCCATAAATTTGGCAACTTAGGAGTAGCAATTAATGATGCCACTGCTCATCCACTTCCGTATTTCCTAACACATGGGAAGCCTGGGGGGCTAAATGGCTCTGTGGGCCAGATCTGGCCTGAAGGCTGCAGGTTGAGTACCATTGCTTCAGTACAATAAAGTCATTTTCAGGATCATGGTAAATCTCAAATATAATAAAAAATCCCATGCCTAAAATGGCACACAATTTGAATTTTATAAAATGTCATAGAACAAAACAAAATCAAGGTAGGATTTTACATAGATTCTGATGGGATTCTTTTTAAGCAGAGTGTATGAGGACATTAAGGTGTTTTCCCCATTTAAATAATGAACTTTGCAAAGCAGGAGCTATCTGCAATGTTATAATTACACCTAGCTTAAAGGCGCTCTAAGATTGTTGGTTCCCACATACGGCAACATCATCAATGCCATTTACATTAAAATAGTTAATGATAGAATAAGTAACCCTATGACCCTATGACCAGTAGAATTCTAATAAAAGGTAATCAAGAAAGATAAACCATGCTAGACAACCATGGAAGTCACACTGAAAGAATTACTTTTATATGCTCACCTCAGGTTTAGTGACGAGATCTATATTTTTACCAATAAGAAATGTGACTAAGGATTCATGTCCATTCTGTGTTGCAATATGCAAAGCATTATTGTTGTGCTAAAAGAAACAAACAAAGGGCTTTTTAATCACTGGAACTAACTCAGAGTATTAAGGGAAATTCTTTTTTTAAGATGGCTACCCATACAGATGAAGCTTCAGTTTAAAATTGTGCTATTAGTCAAAAAGTGCTTATAGTAAAATGACGAAGTAGGAGATCAAATCACACAACATATCAATATGAATGTTTACTGGAATATGACACTGGTAGCTGGCAAAATAGGTTTCTAAAAATTCAACTCTCCTCTGATCTATTCTCAGGAAAAAGAAGATCCAACTTATTCAGCTACCCTTTGCCACTGAAAATGAAGATTTCCCTGTATCTCCCAATCCTGTAGATTGGTGTGACCTTTAACAAATAACTACGCTCACGTTTGCACACTTCCCAAACTTCTGAAAAAACCTTCTGTTAACACTTTGGCCAAAAGAAGCAAGAATGGGCTTTTTGACAATGAAACCTAGAAAAAATTATACTGTAGGTAAAAAGTTACCCTGGTGGATGGTGAATTATCAAATGCTGCAGTGACTCTAAACTAAAACATATCAGAAATATGTTTAGATTTTAAATGGAATTAGAGTGTTGTAGCTGTGATGGTCCAATAAATGTATAAAGGTGAGGAATTTTTTGTGATATCTTTTATTGGACCAACTGTATAGCTGGGAGAGAAGATAGATAAGCTTTTGGGCCCAAACTCCCCTTCCTCAGGTTTCTCCCCCAATAATATAGTTAGTTTAATAAAAGAAATAACAAAAAAACACTCACCACTTATATTTACTACATGCAGCAGCCACTGTCCCTTCTGCTATCAGAACATGCTTCTGTTCTCAGTTTTTTAGGGACCAAGAGGTTCACCTCAAATTCCTGTGCTAAGCCAAGACCATTAAACAAATGAAAATTGAACCTGAATCCAGGAATCAGATGTGGACAACATGTTTATCATCAGCTCAGTTGTTATACACTGCCAAAAATGCAGATTTTTCAATTACCTCTGGTGATTACTTTTCCAAGCCATATGTTTTATTACTGAATATAAAGTAAATAAAAAAGGCTCAACACAACATAAATATCTAGTGTAATTTTTTCCACTTTCTTAAAGTCCTATTAAAAATATTGTTTCCCTGTCCTTACAAAAAATATTTGCCTTTAGTGCACAGAACATGGCCCTTCACAGAGTCTAGGATGTCCCATTAACCATACCTGCAAAGAAATATTATACACATACTTTATTAGAAATGTTGATGTCGCCTCCTGCTTCCAGTAACATCTCAACACAGTTTTCATGACCTCCTTTGACAGCCAAGTAAAATGGTGTTTCTCCATTCTAGCCCAACATAATAAAAAGAAAAATGTCTGTTAACATTCAATCTGTGCAACTGTGAAACAGATTTAGTTTGCCATGTTATGTGGTGCATATGATATACAAGCTTAGCCAGAGTGATACAGAATACGGAGAAAATGAGGTTTGGTAATAATATCTGAATCCTTTGTTATTAACATGTGCATGGTTACAACAAAAATTTCTAATATATCCTTATACTAATCTAGTACAAATATACACAAGCTCTATTTTCATATTTTTATTGCGTTTGTGTGTTTAAAATCCCCACACACTACTAGACACAACTATGACTACAGATTGCAATGACAAACACACCAGTAAAACAATATTGCTATGGGTGTGATATGTACTGGATCTATCCAGTACATATCACAAGTGCCAGAAATTAGTTTTTGTCAGCCCAATTTTGCGTATTTCTGATGTGTTCTTGATTTTGGCATCAGCTAAAAGGAGCAGTAAACCTCCTACATTTTTATTTTTTAGATTGAATAAAAATCAATCCATAGCCCTAGTGAGTCTTTAGAATAAATGAGATACACAGCACAGTTACCTAAAATCCTTGTTTCTCATTTTTACTTAATACTTGTGCATATTTAAAGTTACCCCACCATTTCAACGTTCACTGTAGCATTAGTCATTTCTAACTTTCTCTCACTTACCAAGGTGGGGATATTTTGGTTGGTATTTTAGTAAATTGGGTGCTAATGAAAGGAATGAGCCTGACAATCATGGAGTTGAAAGACCTCTGTTTAACCACAGAACAGACCCGGTACGTGCAACACTTGCAGTAGCAGCAACACTTTTATCATGTCACTCTGGCAATGGACAAGGTCATTCAGGAAGGACCACACTGAGGTGCAGTTTGTGTCCCGTTAATCCATGACCTCTCTGCTGAGACAGCAGAACAGAGTGCCAGCCAGAGTGGAGATTTCTGTGATGTGCCCATCTGCTCATTATGTATAAGTCACTTCATTACAGAGTGGGCAACAGATGACAGCATCTTCCATACCCTACTGACCCCCAAGCTGGATGAAAGCAGAAACATTGAAGTAAAAATCTATGGCATCTCTTCATTCTCCTTTGTTGACTTAGCACAAAGGCTTAAAGGAACTTTGATGCATGCATGCTCTGTGCTGACTAGTTTATAGAAACTCTATTTACTTTACAGCTATTTTGGTTTTATTTTTAAATCTTGGCTTTTATGTTTGCCTTGCATACATTTTACCTTTATTTCCCTCAGCATCTTCTGTGTATTCTCACCTCATTGAGTTCATTTATTTCTTCCCATTGATTCAGCAGAATTTCCACCACCTCGCTGTGACCATTTTTAGCAGCTAAATGCAGTGCAGTGTTCCCTTCCTTTAAATGTAAACATCCAGAAACATAATGTAAGCCCCAAATTAAGTACAGTGTGTTCCAATTACAAGAAAACAATAGCTTCTGGACTTTAGGGAGATATTTAAACACAAGGCACTGTGGTGTCTTCATCTACTGGACATACACAATATCAGATCATAGGCCTGCACCTCAAAAAGGGAAGAAGCAGTTCTATGGGATATTTAGATATTTTCCCAATACTGAGGAAGTCTGAATTAGCGCAGGGAAAGGAAGATGTAAGGATGTAGTGGCTGTATCAGTCTCTCTGCAACTTCCCTGAAGTTTTCGAAGTATCCACCTATGGAATGGCCTGAAATCTCTGCCTACCCTGCAACCAAGTAAAGAAAACCCAGCCCTCAAGAGGGTAAGGCAGAGGGAAAATTGTAAAGTGTCTCCAATGGAATTTTGTTCCATTTTACAGATGTATCCATGAAAGGAATCTAGGTCTGGCTAAAAGCATCTTAAAAAGCAACACCTTACAAAGCTTGAGGGCCAAAACCTCAGTTGGTGTAAAATGGTGTAGTACCACTAAAATAAATGAAGTTATCTTCCCTGTTTTTCCCCTGCCTTACACCATGCTCAGATATTTACAAAAAGAAAACAACAAAAAGAAAACAAGCACACACACCTATGGTAAACAGCAGTGTGAGAAGAACTATGGGCACCAACAGATGTGCACACTCCCCCACCCCTCCACCCCAACTCCCAGCTCTGGGGCTGTCAGGAGGAAGGGAGAGGGGGAAAGCAAGCTGCTGGCTGTGGTTTGATACCTTGATGCCTGAGCTCAGGGGGGTCACAAGGCAGAGAGGTCCTGCAGCTCAGGCTGGGCAAACCCCAGCTGGCAGCTTGCTCCCCCTCTCCCATCCCTTCCTGCTGATAGCCCCAGGGGCAGGGCTGGGCCACATTAGCGTATCTACTACTATTCCCCCCAGCTTGGTGTCAACTGCAAACTTGCTGATGATGTACTCTCTGCCATCTTCCAGGTTGCTTATGAAGACACTGAACAAAACCAGGCCTGGGGCCAACCCCTGGGGCACTCCACTTGATACCAGCTGCCAACTAGACATCAAGACATTTATTACTACCCTCCAAGCCTGATGCTCCAGCTAGTTTTCTATCCATCTTACAGTCCATAAGCCCATACTTCCTTAGCTTGCCTGCCAGAACGTTCTGGGAGACCATATCAAAAGCCTTGCTAAAATCAAGGTATACCACATTCACTAGTCTCCCCTCATCCACAGAGCCAGTCATCTCATCACAGAAGGCAATCAGGTTGGTCAGGCATGACTTGCCCTTGGTGAATCCATGCTGACTGTTGCTAATCACCTTCTTCTCCTCCACCTTCTTCTCCTCCTCCAAGTGCTTAGAAATAGATTCCTCAAGGATCTGCTCCATGACTTTTCCAGGGACTGAAGTGTAGGTGACTGGTCTGTAGTTCCCTGGATCCTCCTTTTCTTAAATATGGGCACTATGTTTACCCTTTTCCAATCATCCGAGACCTCTCCTGATCATCCTAAGTTTTCAAAGATGATGGCCAGTGGCTCTGCAACCTCATCAGTCAACTCTCCCAGCACCCATGGGTGCATCCCATCTGGCCCCGTGGAATCGTATATGTTCAGCTTTTCTAAAGAGTTCATAACCTGTTCTTTCGTTACTGTTGGCTGCTCACCTCCTCCCCAAACTGTGCTGCCAGTTGCAACAGTCTGGGAACTAACCTTACCTGTGAAGATTGAGGTGAAGAAGGCATTGAGCACTTCAGCCTTTTCTGCATCCTCTGTCATAAGGTTGTCTCCCACATTCAGTAAGGGCCCCACACTTTCCCTGATCCTCCTCTTGCTACTGACATACTTGTAGAAATCCTTCAAATCTCTTGCTAGCTGCAACTCCAATTGTGATTTGGCCTTCCTGACTTCACCTCTGCATGCCCAAGCAATGCTCTTATACTTGTCTCTATTTGTCCAAGTTTCCACTTCTTATAAGCTTCCTTTTTGTGACTTAGTTTACTGAAGAGTTCTCTGATAAGCCAAACTGGGTTTCTGCCATACTTGCTAGTCTTCCTACACGTTGGCATGGTTTGTTCCTGCACCCTCAGTAAGGCTTCTTTCAAATACAGCCAGCTCCCCTGGATGCTTTTTCTCCTCAGGCTGGCCTCCCAGCGGATCCTGCCCATCAGTTCCCTGAGCAAGTCAAAGTCTTCTTTTCTGAAGTCCAGAGTCCTTACTCTGCTGCTCTCCATCCTTCCTTTCCTTGCTGCCAATGTCACCATGGCCACCTGTCTGTGGGTTCCTGCTCACCACCACCACGCCCCCGCCATTACCGCCACTGCCTGTGGGCAGTCACCGTGCCACTCCAGCCTCAGGAGGCACAAGTCGTTCATGACCCAGAGACTTTCAACAGGCCTATCTCCAGTTTCATACTAGAGTTCTCAACCATCATACAGCTCTTTTATATAAAGTGCAACTCCTACTCTTCTTCCCTGTCTGTCATTCTTGAACAGTTTATACCCATCTATGACAGTGCTCCAGTCATGCGAGCTATCCCACCAAGTCTGTTATTCTGATCACATCATAGCTCCATGATTGTGCAAGGACTTCCAATTCTTCCTACTTGTTTCCCAGGCTCCATGCATTTGTGTATAGGCACCTGAGGTAAGTTGCTGATTGCCCTGATTTCTCAAGAAGTATGAAAACACCTCTCCTGTTGCCCACTCCTGCTTGCTCTTCCTCCAGGTCTCCCACTTTCCTCAGGGCTCGGGCAGTTCAGGAACACCACTAAGTGTCTGTCTGCATCTTTATGTGCCACAATAGCTTTGAAAACCAGGCCTGAAGCAGCATGCCCGAAGTCACACAGGAAGTTGACAGCAGAGCAGAGAAATGAAACCAAGACTCCCAATTCCTAGGTCAGCAGCTTAACTATTCAACCACCTTTCCTCTTCTAGTATTAGCTTTGGATTACATCATCTATATTATTAACAGACATCAAAAAGCTTCCAGATAATAAGCACTGAGAGGTCCAGGGTTCTTCAAGGGTCACCCAGTATCACTAACCTAATCTCTTGGGCTATTCTTATAAATTATACTATTGTCTCCATAGGTGTAAGTCTTTCAGTTACACAAGTAACTACACTGGGCTCACTTATAAACTTTAGGCACCATTATATTTTGATTTATATGGAAAAGAAAAGCTTACCTGATCCTTTTCAGAGGTGAACAGCTTAAGGGAAATCAAACTGTTTATCATGTCAACATGGCCTTTTTCAGCTGCCAGAAGAAAGGGTTTTCTACCTTTCTGGAACAGTGTCATCAGAAGAAAGACATTGATATTGCAGAACTTTCACCAGCTACTAGTATCATGGCTTATATATAATAAAAATATGCTATATTGTTGTGGATAAAAATGTACATATGCTGCATATATATGTAAACATACAAAGATCTGGAGCCTAACTTTGTACAGGAAAAGGAAATTTTCCTCAGGATGAGAACTGAATTAATTACCTAAAAGAAGCATTTATAACCTGACCAAAAAGTCTAAAACAGTAATAATGGAAACAGAAACTGCTCCAAACTGTTACTTCTTTTGGAGACTAACATATTCAGAGGAAGGATAATTTCATTAAAGCATGAGGTTCTCTATAAAGGACATTACAGATGTCCAAAGACTTATTTTTATTATACATTGCATGTGACCAGAATTCTGAAAATACCGTCAGCTACAGATATCTGTGGCAGTCATAGAGGCTGAATCCAATGGCCAGTACTAGACACTTCAGAAGAAGATGCAAGACACTCCATAATGGACAACTATGGAACAACCTGCCCCTGGAGATAAATTTTCTTTCTAATCAGGTCAGTTAGCTTATGGCCTGAAGCATTAGATTTGCTTCCCTGATTAAACGTCTATGTTCCTTTTCCTGACTCTAATGCAAGTTGTGGGGCTGAGAACTTGCACAGTCAGATAAATACAGCCACTGGGGTTCAAAGGTGTTTTGCCTCTTACAGGAGCTTAGCATATTTATTATTGGGGATATGAAACTGCCACTTCACAAGGCAAACTTCTAAAGTGAGATCATAATGCAGCAGGGCAAGAGGAGATATTTGAGCAAAATGCAGGTCCCTTACACTGATAAAAATCTGAAGTTCATATATAATAGCTGACTATAAGCTAATACCCTTCATCACTGAAACAGACCTCACAATCTCAAGGTAACAAACACATAAATCCTACAAGTAACTGGGCATATGCTGTACCTTATCAGGCTTGTTTAATTCATTCAGGCGAAGATCCTGGATAAAGTAATCCACTATTTTAACATTATTGTTCTGAGCTGCGAAGTGCAGGACGTTCATCCCATCCTAAGGAAAATAAAAATAAGCTCTTTAAGATTTGATTAGACTTCCTCTCAACATAAAAACATGTTTAATGTTAGTTAAAATATGACACTGACAAACCTGATTCTTAGTCTTTTGATCAGCACCAGCTTTAACCAACATTTTCATTATGTCTAGGTTTCCAGACCAAGCTGCAAGATGAATTGCTGTCAGCCCATGCTGCAAATAAATAAGAAAGGCAGAAATCATATTTAAAAAACCCAACATGCCACAATTCATAGTCTTATATGATGACTTTGATGAATGGGACAGAGCTGATTTTATTCTCCAGGTTTTAGGGCTTCTCCGCTAATATTGTCACTAGAGATGGGTGGATAAATGTGGACATATACATGGGGGTAACCATTATTTGTTCATGGTGGCTCATTTTATTTTTCTTTGTCCTGTGTTTCTTCCCTTACAGTGCCTCCAGTAAAACTCTTAGGGCACTTTATCCACTTTTGTGCCTCTTCTTCCCTCAGACTCATTAATTAAAAGATGCAGAACTAATTAGCTTAGAAGCTGCACTCTGCTATGGTGGCTTTTGGTTCCAGAGCTAACACAAGCATGACTAGGTTGACTGTCTCTGCACAGCACTTCCTTCTATGATACAGATATCCCCTGAAGTCCTCCAGATCTGTGTAGATAAAGATTTAAAGGACTCTTTATTTTTCCTTCCAACTTGTTCCGTTTGTATATTTGTGTTCACTGCAATGCACACCTTCCCCCAAGGTCTAAAACAGGATGCAGAGACAGTGTGAGGAGCCTGCAGGAAGAATTGGAAAGCCCTGCACAGTCAAGGAACTGTGACGTGATTGAAATAACAGAGACTTTGTGGGATAGCTTGCATGACTGGAGCACTGTCATGGATGGGTACAAACTGTTCAGGAAGGACAGGCAGGGAGGGGAGAAGAGGAGGAGGAGTTGCACTTTATGTAAAAGAGCTGTATGATGGTTGAGAACTCCAGTATGAAACTGGAGATGGACCTGTTGAAAGTCTCTGTGTTAAGGTTAGAGAGGAGAGTAACAAGGGTGATGTTGTGGTGGTTGGTGTCTGATATAGACCACCAGATCAGGATGATGAGGTAGATAAGGCTTCCTTCAGACAAGTGGAAGAAGTTTCCAAAATACAGGCCGTGGTTCTCATGGGGGATTTCAATCACCCCGTCATCTGCTGAGACGGTAATACAGCAGTGTACAGGCAATCTAGGAAGCTTTTGGAGAGCATTGGAGACAACTTCTTAGTACAAGTGTTGGAGAGACCAACTATGGGCCGTGCTCTTTTGACCTGCTGCTCACAGACAGGAAGAATTGTTGGGGGACATGGCAGTGGATGGCAACTTGGGCAGCAGTGACCACGAGATGACTGAGTTCAAGATCCTGAGGAACGGAAGGAAAGAGGGCAGCAGAGTAAGGACTCTGGACTTCAGAAAAGCAGACTTTGACTCCCTCAGGAAAATGGGCAGGATCCCCTGAGAGGCCAGTCTGAGGGGAAGAGGTGTCCAAGAAAGCTGGCTGTATTTGAAAGAAGCCTTACTGAGGGTGCAGGAACAAAGCATCCTGATGTGCAGGAAGAACAGCAAGTGTGGCAAGCACCAGGTTCGCTTAGGAGTGAACTCTTCAGTGAGCTTAACCACAAAAAGGAAGCTTACAAGAAGTGGAAGCTTGGACAAACAATTTGGGAGGAGTATAAGAAATACTGCTTAGGCATACAAGGGTGAAGTCAGGAAGGCCAAAGCGCAACTGGAGTTGCAGCTAGCAAGGAACATGAAGGGTACTAAGAAGGGTTTCTACAAGTATGACAGCAACAAGAGGAAAGTCAGGGAAAGTGTGGGTCCCTTACTGAATTGGGGAGGCAACCTAGTGACAGGTGATGAGGAAAAGGCTGAAATACTCAATGCCTTCCTCACAGGCAAGGCTCCCGGACTGTTGCACCAGGCAGCACAGTTTGGGGAGAAGGTGAGCAGCCAACAGTGCTGAAAAAACAGAATGGAAACTATTTAGAAAAGCTGGACATGTACAAGTTGCTGGCCATTACCTTTGAAAACTCATGGCCATCAGGGGAGGCCCCAGATAACTGGAAAAGGGCAAATATTAGGGCAAATACCATGTTTAAGAGTAGAGATGCTTTTAAGTGGAGCAGAGCTGAACAGGATGAGGGGAGATGCAGGCTACTTGCAGAGGCTCAGGACTCTCCACTCTGCTGCCTTTGCCCCAGAAGCCCCACACTGGCTGCACACCCCCTGCCCACCTGGCAGTGGGGGGCACAACTCACTGCTCCTACTGGTACCAGGCAGGAAGGGAGCCCATGGCCAGTGCAGGGCTTCCAAAGAAAAGGCAGCAGAGCAGAGAACCCAAAGCCTGCAGTGAGCAGCCTGCATCTGCCCCCAAACACAAATTAGGGGGGAGGGGGACACATGCCCCCCATGCCTCCCCCAGGGGTGCCCACAGTGGCAGGGAGTCACCCCCCACCGCCTGGACGAGCCACCTGTGGCTCCATCCCTCTCCCCGCCCTGGGTCCCATGCACTGCCCTGGCTGGGTAGCAACCCCAGCCCCTGCCCCACTCCCTCCAACACCATGGCGGCCTCAATCTGCCCCCCTCCTACACCCCTTCCCCTCCATAGGCCTACCTACAGGGAGCTGCTCTCCATGCTGCCCGGCTGCATTCCTGGCCATATGCGTACGTGCAGCCATGTGGTGCCCCCTGGGTCTCACTCCCAGCAGACTCAAGCAGGGTCCCTTGCAGGCTAGAATGCCGCCCGCCTGCAAGGGGAAATCTGCCATTTCCCAAGGAAACCCAGGCATGGAGGGGCCCCAGCCCTGCAGGAGAGAGGGAACCCAGGTGTCCAGGGCCCTGGCCAGAAGGCATAATTATCAATAAGCGTTATAAGCTACAATAGCCAAAAAGCCAATAGCCAGTAATGTCATTTTCCCTTTTATTGGTGCCAATCCCAAATGCAACTGATATATCGGTGCACTTCTAGATGGTTCCATGAAATTTGTCCTCAATTTCTTTACTGCTCAAAATATATTTAAAAAGCTGGAAAGCAGCAACTAAAAATAATTTATCACAGAGGATATTTTAATGTTGTTCAGAAACAAATTACCCAAACACAGATGATACAGACTTGGAATTCATAGTGATTAAAATTACACAATGCTCAACTCAACAGCAAACTTCCTAAAAGCCCCTTCTGAGTCACTTTTACAGAGGATTATTGTTCAAAGACAATTATCCACTTCTTATAAAATCATTCTGTTAGCATTATATAATACAGTTATTCATTTTAGACTATTTCATATTAACCATGCAGATGGTTTTCAGCTTGTCAGACAAAAGCACATAATAATATAGCTAAATCAGTGTAAACATTTTGCTTACAACATTACAACATTTACTTAAATATTGATATTATTGGAGAGGACAATTAAGTTTCTAAAATACAACTCTATTGTTCCTTGCTTCTATATGCAAGTATTTTATCCCAAGGCAAATTTAGAGCTGCAACACAATCTGACATGCATGAGACATAAAAAAGTTGATTCAGTTGCAAACCCTGGCTGTGGTAAACAGGCTTGGTCGTATGATTTTATATCTACCTTTCAGAAAGACCTCCACAGTTGGTGTAAGGTAACTACTCAGCCATGCTAAAGGCTTTTCAAGATCCCGTTCCATCTCACTTCACCTATAAGGTATATGATCCATTAAGGGAAGGGGAGAGTTTGTGATATGCAAACAGACATCAGCATGCAAATGACACAATGTTCTTCCTTTTGGAACCCAAATGACATATTACATTCATTTTTCCAGTAGCTCGCCCATAAAAGGACTCAAATAGGACTGAGGAGCAAGCCATACGAGGAAAGGCTGACAGATATAGGACTGTTCAGCCTAGAAAAGATAGGACTTTGGGGGAATTTGGTGGCAGCTTACAAATATATCAAGGGTGAGCATCATGGGCTAGGCAAACAACTATTCACCCAAGTGCCCCAGGAGAAAACCAGGAGCAACAGTTATAAACTTCTAGAAGAAGGTTTCAAACTAGATATAAGGAAAAAAATTCTTCACAGTTCATGTGACCAGACTCTGGAATAGACTCCCAGTGGGGGTGGTGCAGGCAACTACCCTGGAGATCTTCAAAAGGAGACTGGACGTACACTTTTCTGGGGTTATTTGACCCCAGCAGTCTTTTCTGCCCAAAGCAGGGGGACTGGACCCGATGATCTCATGAGGTCCCTTCCACCCCTTAACTTCTGTGAATCTGTAAATGAAAACACACTGGCCCAAACTAGTCTAAACAGAATGGAAATGGTACTGGCAGATTAGGAGAAGTCACCTAGTGGATATGGTAGCCATAGTGATTGCCTCTTTGCCTAAGCGGGATTTACCCAGGCTTTCATGAAGATATTTATTTATTTATTTAATGTATATGCCTCTCTACCAAACAAAGCAGTATGTGATTTAGGGGTACACCTCTGCATCTTCCCTTACACTGAAGTGCCAAGGAACTTTAGTTGTTTGAATGCCTCTGTCATCTCACATACAGCATTTATCTTGGTTGTGGACTTTACAGCAATTATTCATGCCTTTTTTACTTGAATATTAGAATATTGTAAAATACTGCATGTGAAACTATCCTTAAAGACCTCTTTGAAGTCACAACTGGTTTTACAGTGGGATAACCTGCTGCTTCCTTAAGCAGAAAAGAGTTACCTTAGTACTTCGAAGACTGTACTGGTCTTACATTCACTTCAGGTTGTTGTTTTTAAAACACAGCTTTACTTATAATATAGTTGCTTCAAATGCCTGTATTGGCTAAAGCTAATTGAGATAAATTCACTTTTCACATACACATACACTACACATACACATTTAATCTAGCACTGTAAGGACGTGTCTACACATCGCTGTGCTTTAGTATTTCCTTTTGGAAGTACTAAAGCACAGCACAGTAACCATCTGTACTGCGACGTGCACAGTAAGTGCATGGTTAAATTTTGCCACTACTTCACTATACCGGTGAACTAAAATGGGGAGCACGCCGCTACGGCGAAGTAGCTGCCAATCATATGTAAACTCATGTGATCGCTATGTCGCCATGGTGCCATGGCGCACATGTAGCACATTGCTACGGCAATGTAGGGTGATTTGTAGATGCACCTCAAACGCCCAATTCTG